TGCTAAAACCCCAAACCTCCCTCCCAAATGAAGTGTGTCTCAGGGAATATCCGATCCCTGCAAACAAACCCCAGTTGGAAAACCTGGGACGCAGACGTGATCTGAATCTGCCTCCAGGAAACTCGTGTTGGAAAGAATAACCATCGCAACGCACGCAAAATATTCGAAACTGTGGGCTTCACCCCGTGCCTTGGTGACCTCCTCCCAGGAAACTGGCATGCCAGGGTTCAACCAAGACCCCGGTGTGGTGGCACTGCGATTGCCGGTGGTTCGTCGTACATCCGACCGTTCAAGGTTCATGAAGATCATACGGGCACCTACAAGCAGCTTTTTAGCACCAAGAGATGTGTTGCAGCATGGGTTCAGGTAACTGCCAATAAACATGCTCTATTTTTGTCAGTGTACGCTCAAACCGGAGCTTCAGGTGACACCCGTATCCACGGTCAGAACGACAGTCTCTTTGACTCCATTTTGACTTTTGTTGCACAATTTGGCCACATTCCAGTGGTTCTCGCGGGTGACTTCCAAGCTGTCCCAAGTAGCTACCCAGCCATTGCCCGTGCCTTGGCCTTCCAATCTTGGTCTGACCCCATTTCCACTACTGATGCTGATGGGTTTTTGACACGACCATTAACCTTTAGTCAAGATGGAACTTTCTCCGGCCCATCCGATGGCTGCTCCTCGATCGATGCGATTCTTGTGAACGGTGTCGCCTTCAGTGCTATTCAGCACGCTTGTGTCTTGGAGCACTTTGGCCGACAGCACAGACCTATTCAGATCGTTTTTGAATGGCCATCAATAGAACAACGTGGATTTGTCTTATTTAAGACCGCCGATTTTGTTCTTGACCAGGTTGTTTAAAACGATAACACTGATGAAGCCACCACTTTGTGGCAAACCTCGTTTCAGGAATCCTTTGCAAGTAGTCCCGACCCCAACATGAAATGGACGATTGTCAACAACTTCCTCCAACAGAGCCTGCTTGAGAAAGGAGCAACTTGGGGTTGTGGTCCAAAACAAAGAGCCTGCCCTCCTCTTTTCGTCAATAAGTCCGTTGCCCCAAAGCAACTCCAGAATCATTCTGCGTGTACAGTTAGAGGAAGTAAGCTTGCCAAGCTTATTGGACGTTTGAACGAACTTTTCATTCGTCTTTCACGCAGTGCAGGCTCCCCACAAGATGAATTGATCACTAAGAAAACTGCTTACAAAGCCTGGAATTCGTTGGCCAGTGTCAGCTCACCTATATGGTGGAATACACCCAATTCGCCATAATTGACCGAGGTATTCTTGGTGCGACAGTGGGCCACTAAAGAGCTTGCGGCGCACGACGCCGAGATTCGTCTGCAAAGGATTAAGCGGTGGAAAAATAAGATCCAAGAGTCAGCCAAGGGTAACTGTGCATACATTTTCAAACATTTGAGAAACAAACAGCAAGACGAGCCGCCAAACCTCGTCATCGATAAGGATAATAATATTGTTTTTGCACCTCAACAAGCCCTTGCTTCCCTCAATGCGACCTGGGATACATCTTCTCAGTCAATGTTCTTCGCGATGAGCCTATGCAGGTCCTTCAAACTGTGTGGCCCGTACATTCAACATACACAAGTCCCTGTTGATTTGCCACCAATTGATGGGATCACCCTGTACCATACCATCCAAAGAAGACCACATTTGGCTGCACCCGGTCTCGATGGATGGCGTACATTGGAACTTCAATGTCTTTCTCCCGCTGAACTTGAACCTGTAGCCATGTTCTTTTCTGAGATGGAAGTTTCCAGTGAACCATTTCCTGCTTCTTTGGTGTGCGCAAAACAGGTCATCCTCAACAAACCTGGACCAGCCATACTTTTGAACAAAAGATTAATCACAATCCTTCCAGCACTCCTGCTTGCTTACACAGGCAGCAGGTTTGCGCAGTTGCATGATTGGCAAAATGAAGTGATGCCCCAAGGGGTCTTAGGTGGTATCAAAATCGCCATATGTCAACTCTCTATAATGAGATGCGTGTTGATTTGGATTGTGCCTTTCTCGACCATTCACCCATCATTGGCTTGAAACTGGACAAGGCCAAGGCCTTTGACCGAATCGTGCCCGAATATGCCGCTGCCTTGTTTCTTGCATTTGGTCTGCCGAAAACTTTGGTCAATTTCTTCTTGAAGATGTATAAAGGTTTGCGCCGTCACCTTTCGTATAGAAATTGGCGCTCGCCACATGCCACAACTCCTGCTAACGGTGTGGCGCAAGGTTGTTCACTCTCCCTCCTTGCTATGAATGCCTACAACAAGGTGTGGTTTCATCTTCTTGAATACTTGCCAGAGATCACGGCTCGTGCTTTCATTGATGATGCATACTTGTGGTGCCACCTCCAGCACGTTTCTGTGATGGCCAAAGCCATTGAAGTGGCGCAATTGTGGGACAAGTTGGTTGGGCAAAAACTCAACCCAAGTAAATCTTCTATGTGGGGTTCCAATTGTGAAGCACGGAAATCCTTCGCCAAACGTTCACTGATTTTCCGGTCTACCTTGAATTTGTGGTTCTTGGCACTAGGATGTATTGCTCTGAGCGTGACAACTTTGGCTTTTGCCCTTCCACGGCCAGGAAAAACCTTACCGATATCGACAATATCGCTGCATTGCCGGTCTCACAAAAAACTAGGATTTACCTCATAAGTGCCAAAGTAATCCCGCAGATGTCTTTTGGAACACACATCTCTAAGATACCCAAAAAAGATCTTGCTACAAGTCAAAACTCCATTGCTAGGGCGCTTTGGATTAACCAACCGAAATGGCGTTCGAAATCACTGTTGCAGGCTATTCTGTCCCAACCCCATAGGACTGATCCTGCTTTTGCTACTGCCTACAGCGCCATTTTTGAACTTGTCCGAATGTGCCATACTGCGCCATGGATTTTGCCAAAGCTTCAACGTACACTGCAAAGCGAAGCGAGAGCTAAACACTCTCTCGCCAATAGCTTGCTTGATGCTGCCGAATTGTTACATATTCAACTTGATCAGAATTTTGGGATTTCCTTTGCTGGATGTAAGCCCGTTAACTTACAAGATGTCCACCCCAAAGACATACGCAAAGCCTTGCAACAGGTGGTCAGGCACGCATGTTACACTGCCACACCACCCACCAGAAAGGATTTTAGCCGACCTACTGGAATTTTGGATCACAAGCAATCCACTCGCTTTCTTGTGCAAAAACAAAGTAATGATTCTTGTGGTACCCCAGATGCCTCTAGATTTGAATCAATTTGTGTTGGGTGTGTTTTGACCAACGACAGACTTGCAAGCACTGGATGGACTGACAATTCTTTGTGCCGCTTTTGCAATGCGACCAAGGAGTCTTTACCTCACCTCCTTGAATGTGAGAACTTGCACGAGCTGATTGGACCGCCAGTCCAACATGAATTTGGGAACAATTTTATGACAATGGGGCATATACATCATCCAAAGTTCATTGCTCGGAAGCGCTTGCTTTGCTTGTCAGCACGTGATCTTGAATCGTCAGTACATTTTGAAGCTGGTGCTTATGAAAAGCTGTGGACAGACGGTTCTGTCATCTACGCGGATTGTTTTTGGCTACGCACAGCCACCTATGCGATTGTTGACTCCTGCGGACATGTACGGAAGCAGGGGCAAGTGAACCATTGGAACTTGGCAGAGTTATGGGCAGTGGTGACATCTTGCGCCTTGGCAACACAACCCACCATTGTCCACTCTGACTGTCTTACAGTTGTCCAGCAGGCAAGTGAAATTTTTGATGGCAAACCAGTTCACCAGGATTGGGCTTGTAAAGAGTGGTGGAACTTCCTTTTTCAGCTTTTTCACTTGCGCACTCAGCAATGTTCACAGCCGTTCGTAATTCGTTGGATCCCAGCGCATTGCCTTGACACACTCAGTGAAGTGGAGATCACGGAAGCAATGGCTATGCAAAAGAAGACAACACGTGAGAACATCCTGAACAACAGGAAAGCTGACCAGGCAGCTCGATTTTCGGCCAAGAAATTGGCGCCAGTTCACCCTGACATGCAGACCAGGGCCAATAAGGCTATTGATGCTCACCATGCTTGGTTAGTTTCTCTCCACAAATTGTTGCCTACCTCTGATCCAGGTGATCCGCATGTCAAGTCCCAAGACACAGGCCCTGCTGATGTTCCATTGGACCAGTGTAAACTTCGGTTCCCGTCATGGCATTGGCACTTGCCCAAAAAGCATTTTCCGTGGAAACCGAAAATCCCTCTCCACATGAAATGCCCCACAAGATGGGCACACACCGGAACTGAATGGAGAACGCGCTGCGCTTTCTTACGACAATTATCGTGGGTGCAAGATGCTGAACAGAGTTATTCATTCACTGAGTTGGCCGCGGTTTTTCACGCCTCCGGATTCAAGCTGGACGGTGATACACAGCTGCTTACTTTCTTCGACATGTATAAGATTATTCGGGAGCGCATGCAATACATGTCGAAACAACCGGACTGTGATTGTTTTCCTGGAAGGTTCGACTCGACCTTCCCTCGATCTTGCGGTCGTGTTCTCCCTCAGGGATGCATCAGAGGTGGCATCCCTTACGTGACGGATAGTGCACGACTGTTGATCGCTCGTTTGTTTCAAGCTGGGGCAGGCAAGACTATTGACTCATGGCGACTTCCTCTTGCTGATTTTTAGACACGCTTTGTTTCTTCATTTGTACATGTCTAGTTGCTTCTATCAGCGGTAGGGCAACACGCTCTACTCATGTCTCACAAGAGATGACAGAGCGCGAGAGGTAATATATAGATAGATAGAGAGACAGACAGACAGACAGACAGACAGATACATAGATAGATAGATACTATAATTATTATGTTATATCGTGTCATATTATACTATACTATACTATACTATAGCATACTATACTATACTATACTCAATATAATATATTATACTATACTGTACTAGAATATATTACATTGATGTTATGTAATCTTATGTTATAGTTTTTTAGTTTATACATGCATACATACATACACACATATTATATATATATATCGATGAGAGATGACAAGAGATGACAGACCTCAAAACAGTTTCATGTTCACAACATGTTTCAGAGCCTTTGCACCTCTCAACTCAGTTCTCACAAGGCCATTGCCTTTGGGTCGAGTTGGTCGCACGAGTCGCACCCTTCTTTTGGGAAGCACCTTGGGATTCGCCACTTTGGCACCCTTTTCACCATTGGCGCCTTTGTTCCCTTTGGCTCCCAGCCTGGCTGGGCAACTGAATTGTGAAGAAGCACAGGGAGCACAGCCGCAGGACCCTGTGATCTGGGTCGTCTTTCTCATGCGAATGGGCGCGGGCCAAAACATGCAGCAAATGCGACGATAGATCATGGGAGGAAAAATTGTTCTCATCTGGACTCCGCGCAGACTGCTCTCAGGAGATTGCAAATGTTCCAGCACCAGGTGGCACCTCCAAGACAGATTCCGCCAAACCCTTTTGCGCAAAAAATGATGCAAAAGACACACCAGTTGGTGGCATTGGACGCATCGCAGCAGCAATGCTTTGTTGGAGTTTTTTTGAAGCTTGGCCGAGAGGACCGGAGGCAGCCCAAATGGCTGACTAGTGTAATTACGCATTGAAAAGCCAATGGCAGAATGAAAGAAATGGGACTGGGAAAATTGTCATAAAGCACCTTCTGAGGCTGGAATCTGGTTTGTATCCATCACGATGCCAGCTGCTTTGATGTGGTCTTTGGCTACCGCGAAGTGGAAACTGACGTCTGCTTTACTGGCGGCTTATTGCTTCCCACACGTGATAACAATGCCTTCACTGCCTCAGAGTTGCAGCCATGCATTTTGGCACGGCGTACAGGGATGGTTCCCTGAACTTGAAATAGTCCACGTGGGCGAGCCGGAGCCAGAACCAAGCAGCCGAAGCCTGTGCAAAATAGGCAATATGATAACAATGTGCCAAATGGGCAAATATGATAACAATGGATGGCCAATGGATATGATAGAACGTTCAAAGAACGTACCTCGTCATGACCGACCGCGTAGTGGTGGCTCAAGACCTCCCTTGTTTTGTGGTAGGGGGCCCCAGCCTCGCCGCCATGGATCCTTTGAATGAACTGGCCCTCTGCAGGTCGTTGGCCGGGCTCACAGGTCTGGAGGTGGAGACCCTGTACAAGATCGGGTGGACTGTGACCGGCTCGCGACGTTGGAGGCTTCGCATGGGTGAGGGATCAGGCCATGGAGAAGCAGGAGGATGTAGACGTCCGTGAACATCCACAGAGCGGACGCGGCAAGAAAGTCAGGCGTTGCTGGGCGCCCGCAATACTCACCAACGCCAGTGCCTACCAGGCTGAGACGAACACTCCACCTTGCTGGTGACGATCTTGCGCTGCAGAGAAGCGTGATCTGGGCAGCGCCCTACAGGAAGCCCACCAGCCTCATTAGCGCGATCAACTTGCAGCAGGTCTTGATTGGACCGTTGACGTCTGGCCTTTGCTCACGCGCTCCTTTCATTTCATTGGCAAGGGGCAGGCAGGACTCCACGTTTCTTCGAGCGCAACCTCTTCACACCCGCCAGCCATGGCGATGGCCATTTTGCAGGCCCATCAACATCCTTCCGCAACCCAGATGAGGATTGGTGGGCTCGGGCGTGATTGAGGCGTGAGTGAGACGACGTGGCGGGGTCGGACCTTGCAGCTTGGTTGTTGAGGGGGATTGGATTGGTGTGGAGGGGGAGGGCTCGGTGAAGAAGATGGAAGAGCCGCCGTTTGAGCGCAGGGCTCGTGAGTTGAAGCACGCTTGGGCACCTGGGTTGGAATTGCGGGAGGAAGAAAGGTGACAGAGAGATAGGTTGGGGGCGGTTGCGGTGGCCTTGCTTGGGAGAGATGAGGACCCTGAGTTCGCTGGGCGTGTATGAGGAGCTGAAACGCACGCCCAAGGTCTATGAGGAAAACCAGGAGGGCATTCGGAGACAGGTCACAGAGAAGTTGAAAAGGGGAGCGTCGTGAGGCGGGGTGGAGGCGAAAAAGAAGTACAAGGGCCGGTTGGCTGTGGCGGCGTTGGGAGCCGTGTTGGCTTGACGGGACCTATAGCGTGGATGGTGAAGGACAAGATGGGGTCCCATTGATCGACGACGATGCAGCGACCAGGTTATCCATGCTCTATGTCTGACACAAACTGGCCCCGGTCCTGGCGCGGATCATCAGCTGGATCCACGACAAACAAGCCAAAGGACCGGTGTAGTTGGAAGGGAGATGAGGTCGTTTGTCGCGGGGGCGCTGAGGCATGCGCGCCCTTTTCCGGAACCTCTCTTCGATGGCGCCGGGCTTCCTCTTCATTAGCCGTCATGGCTTTTGCTCCAGGCCAAGGGAAGAGCGCGGTGCTATCAGCTTACACAGACAATCTGGCCCGCGCCCTGAAGAAATTTGGATCGAGCGGGTTTCTGCTGTTGGTCATCGGTTTGGAACTGGCGGCGCAGTTGGATGTGGCTGGCTAGGACCTGGGACTCCAGCGAGAAGAGGGCAGCTTCCGGTGGAGCAGCTGCTGGAACGGCGTCCAAGAGCAAGAAGGTGGGCTCAGATGGAAACCTTGGCGACGACAGGCGCGAGGTCCAAAGATCTGTGAAAATGGTAGGCTGTGGAGAACCACGGCCTTTCTAGAAACTAATGTGGGGGAGAAGAGCAATCAAGACCGTGGATTCGCAAAACCTCCTGTAGACTACGCTGTAGACATACAGGGGGTATTAGATGGTATTAGACAAGTTCATGGTCGTGTTGGAGTCAATGTGCAGAAGTCTCACGCTGAAGGACCTCATTGGCGCAACCCGTGAAAAGGGAGTTCATCATGAAGAGTGAGTGACGATAGAACGTTCACTCGTCAAGACCGACCGCGTAGTGGCGGCGCGAGATCTCTCGTGTTTGGTGCTCACCAACCACCCCAAACACCACCAAAGATTTCAGGAGAGATGTTGTATTAATTATGAGCGAAACCTCCTCAACATACAGGGGTATTAGATAAGTTCATGGTAAAAGCTGCATGTTGGAGTCAGTTTGCAGAAGTCTCACGCGAAGGACGTCATTGGCACAACCCTCGAAAAACGAGTTCATCGTGAAGAGTGAGTGACGATGGTGTGACCAATGTTGAATCAGGTTGGACGGGGTACGTATGCACGCTGTTTTCTCGCTATTGTTGACGCTTTGGCTACGCAGTAGAGTGGTCTCAACTGTTGTGCTGAGTGCCAAGGAGAGCGACGCCTTTTTTTGCATTCACCCGCATGGTATCTACACCTTGGGGGCGTTGACCTTGCCTAACCACATGCCTGAGATCAGGCTTTGCATCCTGGCAGGGCAACACCTGGTGAAGTTTGTGCACGTTGAAAGTTTAATAAGCCGAATGTTTGTCCATGTTCGCCGTTGCCGTTTGAGGCATTGCTCCTTACCTGTATCACTTCGCACCAGCCTTTCGGATATTTGCAGAGCTACTTGGAGTGAAGCTGGGGTCAACAGGCCCCAGAGATCTGAAGCATTTAATGGAGACCAAGAACACACCCATGGCGATCGTTCCAGGCAGGGCATTTGGGTTTTCGGATTGAAGGGAATTCAGCAACATGGAAACCAAAGATGGACGTGCAAGTTCCAATTTCTGAACTTTCATTGAAACAGCTGAAGAAAAGATAACAACTGGCCGTACTGAACAAGTTCATTGATGTTCCTTGTGTCGCGTTTTTTGAGGGAGTGCAGTTGGAGAGGGACTAGCGAAGGGAGACTGAGACACTGCAAGACATTATTGGTGCAACAAATCTGCTGTGCGCAGGTGGCTTCGAAGAGGCAACAATCACATGCAGGGGTACGGAAAGAGTATTCTTGAAAACACGCGGTGGGTTCATCAAGTACGCACTCCGTCATGGCTACGATTTGGTGCCATGCTTCACAGTCGGAGATTCGGATATGCTCCTTTGAACAAGAACAATCAAGAAACATTTAGAAAGGAGGTGTCTCCAGTGTACAGTGTTGTCAACAGTACCTTGATTTTATTTACATGACTGAGGTTCAGCAACCCGCAGGGTGCTTGGAAGTTCCGTTGGTGGTTGAATGGGCTGTCTATCCCGGCAGTTCTTCCTTTTGGCTTCCCAGTGCTACCATTGCTGCCAAAGAGAGTACGGGTCAAGCTGGCTATCGGTGCGCCACTCCACATGCCACAAATTCAGAACCCATCAAGGGAGGACGTTGAGAAACATCGGAAGAGGCAGGAATCTGCGTAGCATGTATACCATGTTTGAAGGCAGTTTTCAGGGGCGAGAAATAGGAAGCCTTCCAATTTCTCGACGAAACTGGTGAGAATGCTGGGATGGTGATGGAATAGAAATAGAAGCATTGGAAGATCAGAGTCAGTTTATTTCTTCATGTACTCGACGCACGGAGGTATCTTGCAGCTTTGAAGGCCACGTATGAAGAGGCCGTCCAAGGTACTGCAAGTGCAGGACGTCCGTTCGAGGTTTGGTGACACCAGATCCGTCAACCAAGAGAGGAATCAGCAAGAGGTTCCTCAGGTTCCTCAGTGAATGGTCTTGCCTTTTGTCCTGATCTTCTCCCAAAGTCGGAGAAGTTATTGCTCTGATTTGGGATATAGTTACACATGTTATGGCGCGAGCAAGAACAATTGGATTGCATTTCAAGTGCCACTGCCTTGGCGTCCTGAATGTGAGCCACTACAATTGCGATTGCACATACATACATACATACATACATACATTCATTCCATACATTCATTCCATACACACAACGATTCTTGATCCATGATGTGGCTCAAAGTGATGGTTTAGCACTCCAGTGTTCAGATATTTTTGAAAGCATCTCCAAGGTGGAGGGATGCACAAAAATGAGGTCCAAAGTTGGGTTGGAATTGTCATGTTTATATTACATCAGTTGGAGCAGCACCAGAGTCACTAGAAGCGAATTGCATTCTGCAGCCATGGCCAAATGCATCTCCAATTTAACGAAAGGCTTTGAACAGAAGCTGGGCACTGATTTGTGAAACATCACATCTCATCAGTTTTTGTCAGGGCCTCCAAAATATACATTGGTGGGATACTTCAATGTCCTTTAGCAACATCTCCCATCATGTTCCCTGGAAAATTCGAGACCTAGTAGACCCGATAACATTGGCTGAACCTCCACAGAACCAAGTATATATATATATCCCAATACCATGTCTTGATGGACTCAGGAACACTCATGCACGTCGTTGCTTCCGATTGAGACTTGCCTTAATTGCAGTAAGTTTGAGACCACTTGATTCTGGCCCGCACATGCGCATGCTAGTTCCTGTCAGTTTTTCTTCATTGCAAAGATGGGTTGTACAGTGTGGAATGGCATCACTAGATGTGAGTCATGAGGTGCTCCTTCTTGGTAGTTCTGCTGCTTTTCTATCTCTTTCTGGTTACTTGGCATTGGAGGTCTGAACGCCCATGTTTGAGGTAGTTCAGGGGGAAAGCTCGGCGAGTTGATCCCATCGATTTAGGTGGCTTTCAACTTCCACTTCGTCCGCCGCGTCCCAGTGGAGTACATCTTTGGCGACAGGACGGACCAAAAACTTCAACAATGGCAACTGACTCCTCCCTTTTAATGGAACTCATGATTGTACAGTGTATGAAAGAAACAAAGACTTTGTTTGTGCTCCGAATGTGCTATTTTTTGGTGTTTGCGGTACCTTTGGTGTCACCTTCAGTGTCCACAGGTTGGAGATCACCGTTGCTTCTTGCGATGTGGTCTTGCAGCCGGGCACCACTCGCTCCGTGAAGGTCGAGGCGAAATTGTGGAGCCAGACGAATTGCTTTTCGCAAGAGTAGCCTAGTAGCCTAGTAGTCAAGAGCAGTTATAGAAGCTAGTAGTAACAGGTGCCTTACTAGTAACAAGAAGCGAACGTAGTAACAGGTGCCACGCTATTTATGAAGTTCTACGGTCCCATCTCAACTGCCTCAAGCAGTACCATCTAGCTGAACCAAGTAATCTCCAGAGCTGGGAAGTGAGTGCTGATGGTTTACCTCCGCGAAGGATTGCGAAGGTGTTTGCTTGACGTGCAATGTGCTTATATATGTGATGTGTGGTAAAGTCATGCAAAGTTGTGCTGTGAGATTGAGTGGCTTCTGATATGGTGTTTTATCACTTGTGATGTGACGAATTGCAATGTGATCAGTTGTGATGAATGGGGGAGATAGCCTGTGTATTTACCTGTGGTGTGATGAAGCAAGCAAGGTGTTGATGTCTTCATCGATGGTCTTCCAACTCGCTGTAGCGTGTTTGAAAGGTTTCCGAAAGTTTGACTATGTTCGTCATCAAAACAAAAGCGCACACGTGCGCGCGGTGTCTCTCTCTCTCTCTCTCTGTGCTGGTTGGTGCTTTTCATCCCCAAGTCGTCTCGGTTCAACCACTCGGCTAGCCCTGAGGAGGTGTCCCGTTCGTTGCTTGGTGAAGTGAAACGTGGTGATATCTGAGGTATTGGTGGTTCCTGGCCTGGTGCAGTTACCAATTTTATTTCAAACCCCCATGTAAGGCCTTTATCCGAAATAAGAAAGGATTTAGGAAGCTGTCCTGCAGCTATATAATTCTAGAGTCAAAACCATTGCTTTTTGCATTTTTCCTTGGGCCCGCGCAGTGAACGATGGTCCATGTCGGTATTTAGTGGTGAGGCTCATGGTGATGTGCTTGACAAGCACATCACCTGTCGTTGGCCCTTGGCAGTCAATGATACCCCAACCTGACAGACTATTCATGAAGCTGTGTCATCCTTTCCGGTAAGACCCTGCCAGAGCTTCGAGCTGCCCTGCTGTCAATCACTGGGAGCACTGGAAAAGCCAGCGGACAGAAAACTCAGGTGCGCCCGTTCTGGAATCTGTGCCTGAAGCTCGTGCCGTTGTCAGAGAAAGGAGTCGAGTGAAGCATGCCCGTAATGTAGGACTGAGACCTGATGTTCGCACATGCTTGGCACTTTTGCACGCTTGGGGGCTGGCTTGTGCAGCTTCTGTGTGGAAAGCAGCCAGGGCGGTTGCAGACAGATCTGTCAGGATGTTTAAGTTTGTTGGAAGGATGCGGGAGCATTGTCTTTCATCATGGTGCGGGAACGATAACCTGAACAATAAGCAGAAAGTAACCAAAGATGCTCAGGAAAGGCCCGCCTGCACCCACAGCACATGCCACGATACTTTTCATACTACGCGATGAAGGCACCTGCTCCTCCTTTGGATGCAGAGGAAGCAACACCCTGGTGACCACTCACAACGTGAGCAATAACTCATGGCTTGGATACATGATGGCTGCCCTCTACCAGCTCGCCAGATGATGAGCCGTACTAGTGTGGGTCGTGCCTGCAAGTCTTTAAGCAGCAAGCGGAACACGCATTGTACAGATGGTCTGAAACCTCGCTGGCTTTCCTAGATTCGCAAAGAGAGTGATGCGGTTTGCCTGCCTGGTTCTGGCACCTGCTCCCTGTTTGGGCTGCAGCAAAGGCAAAGCAAGTCTTGCGCCACGGAATCGGTTCATTCTCCAATCAGCAAGTCTTCTCTTTTGATGTAGCAACGAGTTGCGCAGGAAAGAGAAAGTAAGCGTAAGATGTG